ATAATTGCAGTACATACCTGATTGAGGAACTCAGCATTAATTGACACTATAGCAGAGCAAAGCCTGAATTATTTTGACTTCAATAATGTTGTACACTGTTGATGAAACACTGCTTCTCCAACCTTTGGCACTAAATATGATCTCCTTGATAATGCATCAGATAGTCCTTGTTGCTTCATAGGCCGATAAGTAATAACAAAGTCAAACTCGGATAGCAACATATTCCATCGAGCTTGACGAAGATTCAAAATCTGAGCCAACATGAAGTACTCAAAATTCTTGTGATCCGCATGTATAATCACTGGATGTGCAGCTCCTTCGAGAAAGTGATGCCACTTCTGGAAAGAATCCACTATTGTAAAAAGTTTTTTATCATGGATCTCATAGTTGAGTTCAATAGTAGAAAACTTTCGAGAGTAAAATGCAATCGAATGAAGCTTCTCGTCTGTGCCTATCTATGAAAGTACAACTCCCATAGTAAAATCTGAAGCATCAGTCTTTAATTAGAAGGCCTTTGCAAAGTCCGGATGTACCAAGATTAGAGCCATAGTAAATGCCGTCTTAAGAACTTGAAATGCTTTTTCCGCTAGAGGTCCCCATTCGAGCTTGTCTTTACATGTCAACTAAGTATGTGGAGCAACAACTTGAAAATAATTCTTGATGAAGATCCGATAGCAGTTAAGAAAGCCAAGAAAGCATTGTATATCTCTAATCGTCTTTTAAACTTCCCATGATACAATTGCTTCCACCTTCTTAGGATCCATCTTCAAGCCTTCTATAGTTGCAATGAATCCCAAAAATTCCATCTCAATTTGGTTAAATAAGCACTTCTCTAATTTGGCATAAAGTCCTCGCTCGTAGAGTTTTTAAGGACCAGAAAAACGTATTTCTCATGCTTTTCTATATTCTTGGAAAATATCAAAATGTCATCTAGATAGATGACAACAAAATTGTCAAGGTGCTCTCAAAAGATGTCATTCATTATATGTTAAAAGACCACCGGAGCATTGCTAAGACCGAAAGGCATGACATTATATTCAAAATGGCCATACCTTGTACGAAAAGTTATCTTCCATTTGTCTCCTTCCTTGATTCGCACCAAGTCATAAGCTCTTTTTAGATCAATCTTTGTAAAGATCCTTATATGCCTGAGTTGCTGTAGAAGACCTGATATCAAGGGTAATGGATAATGATTCTTCTTTGTCACCTTATTGAGACCTTGGTAATCCACACACATCTGCAGTGAGCCATCTTTCTTCTTCACAAATAAGATTGGTATCTCAGCTTGTGACTTCGAATGACAAATGAAGTTCATGGCTAGATTCTTGTCAATGTACTTTTGCAACTCCACTAACTCCATCTGCGACAAATTGTAGATTGGGCTAAAAGGTGGTTGTGCTCCTTCTTGCAAGTCTATGGCACAATCGTATGGTCGATGCTCCGATAGCATGTCGGCATTCTTCTTTTGAAACATGTCTTCAAAGTCCTTATATTGCTCCGATATACTTGCTGTCAAAATCTTCTCTTTGCTAGTTAGAGTCGCATAAATGACAAGTGTTGTGCCTTCCTTGGACAATGTTACAAACACTCTTACTCGAATAAGTAAGGATTTTTTGATTTAGAATCTTGTAACAAGCTTATTCTTGAAATGTTCTATAGAAAATGTCATCTTTCGTAACTTCCAAACTATGGATGGATTATGCATTTCTAACCAAAAAAGACCAAGAATAATAATGTTTGATGGGGTTCTAATAATACTGAAAATAATACAACTACTATGGTCTTTAAACGTCACCTCTATAGGTTCTGATTCATGGGTGACATTACTAGATAATAAAGGTCGTCCATCTATTACTTCTATGTGAACGGGTTTAGGTTTATGTATTAGAAGAATCTCGTGACGCTTAGCAAATTCTTCGTCTAAAAAATAAGCAGATGCTCCTGAATCTAATAATGCTAAGGTTTTTAGTTTTTGAGGGCCAAAAGATAGAGGAATGGTAAAGCAATGGGCAGGTTGAGCGGAAAGAGAGGAACTTGATTGGTATTGTGGTATTGAATTGTCCAACCGCACGGTCCCTATTGTGACTAGACATCTTTGTTTTCTTAAACAAATACACCTCTGGTCCTAACAATGCGTCGATTTTGCTTCTTGGAGTAGTTTCCAACTCTATGGCCTTCTTCACTACAACACAAGTATAGTTCTTCTTCCATATGCCACTTTTTTTCTTCTAGAATTAGGAATTTGACACATACCGAGTCAATTTGCATATCTTCCACCTCTGAATGTGAATTCAAGCTGCTTGCTGACATAGTTGGAGCATGATGAGCCATATGTTGTCTTGAGCATTGATTTTGAGGACGTTGGAATGGGTGATTATTGCACTTCACAGCTTGGCTAATGGCTTTGTTGAGCGTTTGTGCATCGGAAAGAGATAATAGCAAATCCTTCACGTCATCCCTTAAGCCTAAATAAAATTGATTCATCAATGCTTCCTCAATTCAATTGATGTTGCACGCTAATTGTCTAAAATCTGATGCATAGATTGACGCGGAGTGTGCTTTTTGTCGTAGCGATCAGATCTTTGTTGTAGCCCATTGCGCCTTGTCATGTTTACCAAATGCTTCCACAAATGCTTCCAAAAAAGGTTCAAAGTTGTTCCAAATTGACGATCTTTTCTCAAACAAAGGAGCAAACCATGATAAAACTTGCCCCGTGAGCAAAGTTCAAACCAGTCCAACATGTGACTCCTCCGTCGGATAGCATTCAGGCTGTAAAGCTATTATCAATCTAATTTAATTGACAAAACCTCGAAACTTGGAATGCGTACCATCGAACTTGCCTAGAAGGCTAATTTGGGGCTCCTTTTATTGTAAGACCAACGGTCCTTGTTGAACTAGAGGCAAAGCTGCTTTTCTTAGTGCTGAAGCTTGAAGCTGATGAATCCTCGCTTGTGCCATACCAAATGCTCTATTATTATAAAGTCTTATAATGATTCCTTCAATCTCTACAATTCTCTATGATAACATAGCAAGAGCATTCATAATGGCATCCAACTTGGACTCCGAATTTTCAGCCATACTAATATTTTGACCTCCGGCCATTCTAAGCGAAGGAAAGGAATGTCTCTACAAGAAGGCAGTATTGGTTTAGAGGAGGGTACTTCGCAACCTCTAAAATGCCTTAAAACCTTCAAGAAGAGGGATAATCCACTCTCTCCAAGAAAGATAAGACTCCAATATTATAATAGAAGAAATATCAGTTTAGAGGAGGATAATCCGCAATCTCTAAAATACCAGCACCTTAAAGCAGAAGGATAATCCTCACTCTAACAAGAAGGAACTAGCTCTAATATGAAGGATGAGTGTAGTCTCGACAAACTGTCACGAATTTAGAATATTGATTGGAAAGAAGAAGCTCAAGAAGAATTGATAAGAACTAGATTAATTAGATGAGTACAAGAATAATACTAGAGAGGTGAGCTAGAGCTCCAAGAGATGTGTTGTCGAGATTGAGGATCCTCTGAGTCTCGGCTCCTATATATACTACAAGCTAGGAAGCTTTTAAAGTAGCTTCTACAAACTTGGAAGCTTCTCAAGCAACTTCCACGAGCTACGAAGCTACTCAAGTAACTTCCACAAACTACAAAGCTTCTCTAGAACCTTCTAGAATCTTCTACAACTTCCTAGTGTATGTCCTTGACAGTGACATTATTATTTGGATAATGACAAAATAATAATAATAATAATAATAATAATAGTGATAATAATTAATATAAATAATTTATAAAAATAACAATACCTTTGTAAAGCTTTTTGCATTAAATTTTTTACACCTAACCTTTATTAAGCTAGTTTGGATGCAACTAATTAGCATTTAAATAAAATTAGCAAAAGAACTATGATTATCATATGTATCATGATAAAAATTGTAATAGTCATAACACTTTCTATATGAAAGATTTTTTCTTTAAACCTTTATTATTATGATACTTATAAACTAAAGAATATAAGAAAATCATTTGTATAAAATAAAATCAATTATTAAAAAAAATTTAATTTTTAATCTCTTGAAATCCACTTTTTCAAGATAATTAGTTTTTAAGCAATATTATTTTGTCTTTCTTCAAATATAATATAAAATTAAGCTATATCTTAGAGAATAATGGCTTTGAACAATTATTTTTGTTATATAAGAATAACATTGTAATATTTGTCTTATATTCACAAATGCCTAAATTATTATTATTATCATAACCATATGTATATATATATATATATATATATACATATATATATATTTTCTATTAAAGCAATATCAAAGTTTAACTTTTTTTATTATTATTATATTGATTCATATTATACAAAACACATACCTATCATTTTTATAAACAAAATTGCATTGACATTAAATTAACACATCATATTTGTCTAAATTTTCTTTATCTAAAATGATCCACTTCTCATTGCCATTAAATTAATGGACACCATTGTTTGGCTTAGTCAATTTAATTTTTAGTCATACACTTTTAAATCATTCAAATCTTGGATTCTACTCTAGAACAAATACACATTTATTTTCTTGCAGTTACAATAACCGCATCCACTTTTTCAAGACAGCAATAGATTTTTCATCAATTCTAGCATTTTGGATTAACTACAGTCTATAAAAACAATTACCTTGACTTGAAAATGAAGTAAACCCATAAGAACCAGATTGCTTGAAGTCTTCAGAAAAAAACAATGCTAAATGAATTTGCGCCAGACTCATCCATGCCAAGACTTTGTGTAATGTATCTACGAAGGTCTAAAGACAGCACTGGAGGTCAATTTTCGACGCAGAATATATCAAATAAGCAGTTGAAGAGACGACAAAGTATGTGGTGCAAAGCTAAATAAAGAAGTGGACCAAGAGGATTTGAAGATGAGAGAGATCATTTGACAATGAGTATTGAAGCTGAAACCATGAGGTGCAATACTAGAGTAGCACAAAGAGATTGGAGTGAGGGTTGAAAACATCACAAAAGTGACTGTTCTATCAGATGAATTGTCAACAGATCCTGATTACAACAAGATTCCTGAGCCGTGGCTGCTAACTGGCATGCAACATACATTAACTCATTCAGGAAAAATAGTACATCAACGTACCTGCTAGGCAGCGACCTTCTCAAATACATAATCGATACCATAAAGGATAATATGGCGTGAACCAGCTATGTACATACTCTCAAGAGCAAAAGAGCGTTAGAGCGATTGGAATGAGCATCGGCTACACTCTTCCAACAGCTACGAAGCACCCACGCCAGTCGAATGCAGATACATCCCGTTCCTTCTGAAGATGAAGCATTCGATAGGTGCTCGTGAGGCCAATGCTTCCTGAAATTGAGATTCTTCAGAGAATTCTCCAGCTCATTACTACAAAGTGCCACTACCGCTACCCTTCACCAGCAGTGAAAGATGCAAACAATGCGGCTGCGGAAAATAACTACACAAAACGATGAAGACCAAATCTTGAAATGGATGTTGGTCGGTACCAACGCTGGGGCTAACTCAAATGCATAACAGTAGAATCTGAGAGGACGCAATCTGACATTGGGCTGTTCCTATTCCACTTTGCTGGCTCCGAGCTCGGAGTCATGGGAGGCCGCGCCAGGGAATTTCCCGAAGTTGCTGTGTGCAAACAAGGTACATCAGTAACGCACGGGACGGTTACTGTGTTGACACAGAAGCCGCCAGAGAGGGACTGTACTTCGCAATCGCCATTAGGTAAACTCTTTGTGACGAGGGCAGAGCTGGTGGGACACTTGGATGCTTGAACAGGAAAGCTGCCGATCTCAGCGTCAATCCGGCCACGAAACTCGGACAGAAGCGACCGCAGGCGAATGACCTCGCTTTCAAGGGAAGCTTGCCCTTGAAGGCGCTTCACAAGCTGCTGATTGAGACCTCGGAGATGGTGGACTTGCTCCTCGAGGTATGCAGTGTGAGCCTTTTTCTTCTCACGGTACTTTCGCACAGCTTCACGGTTACCCAGAGGTCGCTTCTTGCTGTTGTGGCTACTGGTCGGAGTTTCGGACTTATCGGCGGAAGTGTCCTCCTCACCAGCTGCGAAGAGATGAGTGTGAGTATGGTAACATGTGTGAGTGTGGGTGTTATCTGGGCCTGGTGGATTGCACGTATGCGTGTGAGTGCACGCATGTGTTGATCTCAGCACCTCCTCGAGGAAGTTCTCCATGGAGCCCATAGTAGTTGGTGTGGATGGCAAGTCGCAGAGGCTACAGCCTGCGAACACGTCGTGGTCTGTGAACTCCAACTCCCCATCGTCCATTTGATACCCACGTCCTCGAATCACACCTTTAGGTTAAATTCTCCGACAAAACCAATCAATTCACGAAATGGTGAGACAGTAGGAAGATAAAAATAAATAAAAAGAAAAAGAAAAAAACCATCTAAAACTGTGTCACTTAACAATGATGAGGTTGGATCAACAAATAAACTAAAGAAAGTAGTTAAGGTTTCATACATTCTGCAATCAACAAATACCAGAACGAGGCGCTCTCTCTATTGGACTAGTGGAGAAAGGTAAACACATCTCAATTCCATCACCAACAGGCTTTACTTAAGGATTTCCAGAGCTGAGTTTGGTCCAGACGAACTCACAAATAGAAAATACGAAGCAAAAAATGAAAAAAATAAAATAAATCAGGATCTCCTCATCAAAGTGCGGAAGTCTAGATATCTAAAAGAGGACAGCTGCGAGTACTAAACAGTGACTCCTACTCTCACGCAAGGACGAAGCCTGCAATGGTTGAACTCAGGCTCTCGAGATCCTACACATATAGAGCCAGATTAGGGTTAATTTGAAGGTACAAAACTGGCTACAAGGAGGCATCTTCTTCACGTTTGTCTTACATTGACCATCCAGGTTGGGAGTAGCGGAGGATTAGTTGCGATCACTGATCCAGAAAACGATCACTGGCAATTCACAATCAAAATGGACACCTACAAATTACAACACAACCTAAATCCGACCACGGCAGACTCTCAAATGAAAACCACTCGAAATTGCAATAAAAATGCTTCAAGGCAGGATTCACCTGAAACACGGCAGGAATCTGTCTCATCTGCCAAACTCCGTTTCGACAGACCTGAGCGTCAGCAGCTTTGTAGCGCAGCGGAGCGACACTTCGAAGACTGAAAACGTGATAGAAATCGGATCTGCACTAATAAAAGACGAGGGTTTAAGGTACCGCAAACACAGCAGTATTGGCATATAGTAGGATTGCAACTTCCGCGGTCTGCTTATCGTGCAAGAAGGGAAGTTTGCGAGGAGGGAGAGGAATCTTCCGAACGAAAACGGAGGACGCGGCGACAGTGTTACTACCGAAGCTAACGGAGCCTGCAATGAGTTCTGGGCTCCGGTAAGAATGGACATCAGTCAGTTCCTACTGCAGGCAGGTGTCTCTCACTTGTAGCAAGGGTGGAGCAAATCCCACCTTCAGGGTTGTCCGCAGAAGTCTTGCAAAGCATTGGCGGAGAATCCATCCTCCTCCGGCAAGCCATGAGTATGATATAACATCAGAAAATGTAAGAATACATGTCAATTCAATTGGGAAGGCGAAGTCAGTCCGCAATGGAGGGTGGGTAGTGCTCCGGGGAGTGCGTTCGTCGTGGATGTCGCTTCCTGGACAGACATACCTTTGTATATATAATTTCGGAGCAACATCCAAGACGATCGTGGATAGAAAATGCACCCCGCTGCCACCCAAAGGACCTTGTCTATTTTCATTTTCTCCGAATTAATGCATGTTGCTTTCAAGCTCGATGTGTCTATTTATCCTGGAAAGCATCTACGCCTTTCCCCAAAAATGAATTCAAGGCGGAGTGTGGCAAAGAACCCAGTACAATATATAATGATTTTTTTACAGTTTTTACTCGTGAAGCGTGTAACATTTCAACACGGCAAAATTCATAACAGCTATTGCAGTGTTACAAAAACCACAGTTTAAAATCATATACTATTTGCAAATTTTGTTGTACGGCGTGCAAATTATTACATGCCGAAGTAAATTGATACATATTTCCAGTATGCAAAATTGAGCCTTGACGAATGTCTGTCCAATCCCAAAATACCCACTCAATGATAACAACAATAGAAATAATATAATGTGGTACCATATAGCACAATAATACACAGTGATGGATCAAGGCAGGTACAAATCCACAACAACCAACCATTTCAGCCAATGAAGATGCAAATCGTAGAGAAAGTTGTAAATGGAGCTTCAGACTCATGCTCAACTTCAAACTTACTTCTATTTTGTAGTCACTCACTTTCTTTGAGCAAGACATTCAATTTAACTCGATCAGTTAACATGGGCCGCAGTTGAGAGTGGTTACAAGCTATGTCAATGCATGATATTCTGCACTTAACTATCTTAGTGACTAATTAACTAGCCCCAGAAAATTGCCAATGACATGGTTCTAGATTTGAGTTTCTCAACGCGCATTCTATTTTGGATTGGTTGATTCAAGTACAAAAGGTATCACTTTACTTGTTGCCATGCTTAATGAACCTCACAATTGCTACACAGGAAAATTCCCATTAAAGGTCTCCTGCACCCACAAGCTATTGCCGTAATGATTCAATCTGACTCATACAGTACACTAGACCATTGCTATTCTTAGATTCAGACAATAGTATACTAATGCTGTCTCTACATAGAAGCAAAGACCAGACCAACAGTTACAATACATACACTTCTGATGGTCCAAAGCTATCACACAAAAATAACCCACTTCTCATTACCAGCAATCGCTTCAAGGGGGTTACAGGAGTTCCTAATGCTCAATGGTCACAGTCCAAAACAAAACTACCTACACCAGGAATGTACAGAAAGGGAAACTGGAGAAAACCCACAACGAATACCACCACATAGAACCTTCAGCCTGAGCTGCAGTCGTGTGTGTGTAGAGCTTAAGTTTCAGTTTGAAGGGGTAATGGTACCTCATATGTCAGAAGCTTCGTTGTCGAAATCAAGCATGGCTTCATAAACCTGGAAATCATTGGCTTCATGCAGCCTCTTATGAAAGCTGAGGGATGGGATGCGCGCATCACAATTTCTTTTTCCTAGTGTTCCTTCTTTGAGTGCTTGTCCAAATCATTGTGCTTTCACAATTTCTTCCATTTCCTTTCAACTCCCAATGTTGTCTCACATCCTTCGCATCGTCGCTGTCAGAACAGTGTACCCTTATCGATTTTCCCTTCTTATGCTACTTGCTCTCCCACCTGGGGTCACCGCCTGCATCTACAAATAGCGTTTCTGACAATATGGAAGGGCAAGACACTGGACGGTCATCCCAGTCTTCCTACTGACGAAGATCAGCAGCAGGACCTGCTAGATAACTACAGAATGGACCCGGCTCGTCCATACGGAAGCCCACGGCCCGTTTTCATTATATCTTCAATTGCGAACAAGAGTCAATTATTTAGAAATAAGAGAACTGCAATTATTGGATGATGTAAGCTTGGCAAGTGCGTGCATCACGCGCTCGATAAGGCACATCATTTACATGTGCGTAAAACAGCACTGTTTGAAACGGAAATGGAAGAAGATAGGCTTGAGAAGAAGCTCAATGTGCGAACTTCTCAATGTCCTCGTTCATCAAGCCAACGTTGTATCGTTTAGAGGCAGAGCTGCAGAACTCTTCTTCATGTCTGTTTTCGCTTCCCATTGAGATCTCTGTCCGTTGATTGCTCCCCAAGGCGCTCGTCCCTGCTTCTACATGAAACTTGTTCCTCGCTGCCTTGATTTCAAGCTCTCATAGCCGCCATATCTCCTCGATTTCTGCTATGCGATTGGCTGAAACCAAGATACGTCTACATTAGGGGTTGAAACAGAGCCATTCAAATCAGAGTTGGACAAACCTCTGAGAAGCAACAGAATTCGTTACGCATGCGCAATATCCTCAAACTAGAAAACCCAGTACACTGTGCATTTCAAAAACGATCCACCTTTCAGAAATTCCCACCTACAACAGCACACCAATTCATTTCTCTAGGTGATTCTCAAACCTGCTAATCGAGTTTTTTTCTATACATATTCGCAAAAACATCGAGTTGATTCGACAAATCCAGGATGATGAGAGGGTGACATGCGTACAGTGCTGAAGACTTCGACCCAGGGACACTGAAAAACTACCTGTTGGGCTTGCCGAGACATACGCTAAAACTATCAGTATAAGCTCACTGCCGCATCAATTCCTCTGCTCTCCACTCTCAGAGAAAGGCAACCAGCCTTCTTTCCGGATCCGGATTCGTCTTCTCCTCCTCATCGACAAGAAGCGTCATCCTAACTAATCCCTAATCATAAAGACATCCCCCAAAACCATACCCAGTCCTCCTTGAAAACATAACGAAGCCCTAATTTAGCAGAAGAGGAAGTAGAAGCAGGAACAGTCTACACCTGCAATGAGAATACTTTATAGTGTTGTGGGGAGGGGGGTTGGCACACCCAACTTGTTCAGCTGTCACTTTGATGAGGACTGTGTCACTTACAACGAGCACACTTTGCAGGACGGAGTTGTTCAACAAGTATTTCGAAGTGTGGAAAGTGAACAGGATGTAGCAGGTTTGGCCTATTTTTCCTGCCATTGGAGACTGTTTTTTCTTTTGGTTTAGTATTATTTTGTTTTTTGATGAAAGTTGTGAGAGTTCACAAAATGATTTTGATACTTGGTTTTGGGTGGAATAAAACAAGTTTGGCGTCTTTCTCTCTTACAAAAATTATTATTATTGTTATTATTATGCTTATTGTTGAGTGTGATTTGTGTGTGTGCTTATGGAAATTGAACTTTGTAAACAATTTTTAATGAGAAGAGAGGCAGAGAGGGGCTCCCCCTGAGATTTGGGCTATTATTTTTTATGTATTTTTTTAAATTTAATATTTCATTGATGTGCATTTATGAGTGGAAGTAGGTTCAACTTCAAATTCATATATATATATGTATATATATTAGCAAAAACTTGTGCCATTTGGCACTACAATCTTTGGCACTCTCATCAGCCCATTCTCTTGTTCATCTATGTTCTTTCATTTCCATGTTTAGCCAATGAGAAGGCTTCTTTGTCTTATACCTAACCTTTCTTATTATATAAATATATACATACGTATATGTAGTTTTGTAAAAAATATTCCTTATATTGCATGCATAATTTTAAAATTCACTATCCACAAAGAATTTTAGTGTTTGAGTTAAACAAATTGTGATACTTGTGGTTTCAACAATACTTGTGTTTGACTTGATTCCTTGATATTTTTGGGATTTTTGAGAATTTTTATTACTGAAAATTTTATATAAATAAATTCTGAAATCCTGATAATTTAATCAAATACTTTCATGCTTCAAAATGAGGCAACATCACATATTAAAATAAGTATCAAATTTAAATAAAGAACTATGCATATAATATTATCTGAAAGCTATAATATTTTCAATTTAATAAATTGTATAATATTGTTTAAAAACAATTTTGTAAAAAAGAGCCAAAGATGCAACATACTCCTTTTTTTTTCTTTTTTTTTCTTTTTTTTATCCCTTTTTTTTGTTGATGCCAAAGATATATATATATATATATATATATATATATTTGGCATGATGGTGTAAGAGAAAAGAAAACTGCACACGAAGTAGGTAAACATCGAAACCATGGCTTTCAAGATGGGAGAGACTCAAAAATAGGGGCTGATAAGTTGAAGCTCACATGGAGAGATATTGATCTATTGTTTGTTGTTTCAGATTCACTATATCTATACATACATATATATATATATATATATATATACTTTTTTTCTTCTCTTTTCTTGTGGAGTGGGAGTGAAAACAACAACAAGCAGGATGAGCACCAAAACGCATACTCAAACAAACAGAAACAAATACCCTTGACAAACGAGGAAATAGAAATAAATGTGTTGGAGGTATGTATTTTACGTGAAAGATAGTGGACATATGCCCAAGTTTATTTTTTAATTTTTTTAATTTTTAATAAATAGATTTGAGGGGTAAAAATAGTAATTTTATTTTTTAAAAACCAGTAAGAAAAGATAATTTTTTTCTACTTAGATAATATGGAAGAAAAAAAAATTATTTTATTTTATTCTATTTTTTTGTATATTTCTTGGTAATTCAAAAAAATATTGATATAATTTCACATTTGATATTTTATCAAAATTTTCATATTTTGGAAATTTTTTCAAATAGCTTAGAATTTCAAAACACAATAGATCACTTAATTAAAAAACATAAAAAATTATTTGGTTTATTGAGAAAACAAAATTGAGATTGAATGTTTGTGACAACTAAAACAGATGAGATGAATTTGTGACAAAATACTGATACTTCCTCTTTAATTTCACAAATAAGAAGTTTCGGGTTCCATTAGCATTTTGCAAATCTTTTATTTATTTATAATTAAATGTGACTTTGAAAATCCAATATCTTGGATTTTTTAAAAATAAAATAGAAATAGAAATAGAAACTAAATAAAGTAAATAATTAAGTGAATAAAAATAATTAAGTTTAAATAATTAAAATAAATAATAAATTATATAAAAATATACATACTATTATAAAAAATAAAATAAAAACTAAAATATTA